TAATAAGTTTAGGCCTTAACTTATTCTTTATTAAATTCAATATAAACAGGTTATATTTTTAAAAAAACTTAAATTGTACTTTAAATAAGCAAATTAAATGATTTAAATAAAAATGATTTTTTTTAAATTATCGATTTTTATCCACTTGCAGTAAGTGAAAAATGCTACAGAAGATCTGTGTATTAGTTTATTAAATACCAAGTGCTCTAATCTTTAGCAAATGTAAACTAATATAAAAATACCTATTCAAATGTGTGTATTTCTTATGTATGGTGACAAAAATGATTGAAGGTAGAAAGTTAAAACCTACCTTCCTTGATCTCACAAAAATCTAAAGAATAAACAAACTTTAAAAAACTGATTAGTTTATAAACTGTTAACATTAAAACTTCATCTTTGTGTATGAGAACTTAGCGATAAGTGATGTAACTTACTTTATCTACGGCTGTCATCCCCCATCCGAACCTCCCCTCTCCCCTCCACATAATTGTTAGTAAAAGTCACAGATAGGTCATGGATGTCCATGAAATTTTATTTCCCCGTGACTTTTACTAAAAATAACCATGACAAAATCTTAACCTTAGTTATAGGCCTGTAATCCCTGCACTGGAACCAAGTAAATGCCAGGTATAGGACCGTATGGATCATGGGCAGCAAGCACTCCTTCCCTGTACTAAAGTTTAATAAATTTGCGGCCTGCCACATCATTCCATGAATGTATCTGCCCTCATTTTGCTGCTGTGTCCACATCAAGGTATTCCATGTGTTTGAGAGGTGAATTACAAATGTGGTGAAAGTCATAAATATGGAGTGTCTGGTGTGTGTGAAGTCCAATGTTTTGCACAGATATTTGCATTCAGTGTGAATAGTTTTTTTAAATATACATGCACAATAAACGTTATATTATTAAGGTATTTAAGGTTCATTAGACCTGAGGATTTTGAGAGTTTATTTTTGTGTGTAACTTGCTCTTAAAGGAGGTTAAAGGAGCTTAACAATTATATTCCTAATGCTTGTTGAAGTAAGATGTGTCCAAGATAAGAATGAACTTAGCACTTACTTTACTACCAAGTCCAAGCAAAGCCTTGAATAAATGCCCATGAATGAAATTTTACTTTTCCCCCCCACCCTTTTGTAGCCATCTTTCCACCTCGTATTTTGTCTACTCGACCAGGACAGAAAAGTCCAGTTAGTGTGCTTGATGAGAGTTCCACTGAGAGAGATGCAGAAGAAAGCATAACTTACACTACTGTAGACTGGAGAGAATTTATGTGCAATACTTGGCATCTGGAACCCACACTTAGGTAATTAGCAGGCTTATTTTGCAGTATATTCAATTTTACATTTATTTTGACTGAGTAATAGTATTAAGTGCAGAGACTATTCTTCAAACCACAGATGTTTCAATTTGATAGTTAACCTACTAATGGGATCTAGCCTTATGGAAGCTGTCACAGATTCTGCTTTGGCTGTTAGATGCTGATAGGAAGACACCTGCTACAGTATATGAAATGTCATTTGGTAACAAATGCTGGGTAATACCATAATTCACCATAGACAACGGTTGATCCGCTGGATCATGGTGTACATGTAAGAGATCTAGTCAGATGCTGAATGAATCCACTTACGCCTGACAAGTCCAATTCGAGAGTAGCCACTGGATAAAAGCACTGAAAGTTATACTGCTTAGAACTACTGCACATACAACAGCAAGGTTCTCAGGTGCTCAAAGTCAAGATGAAGCAAAATGCAGCTCATTAAAGACCACACATTAACTTGTCATTTACTTTTTTCTCCTATTGTTCAAGTAATCTTTAATTTCCAATTTAAAAAAAGAACTTAGAACCTTTCTTCTATTCTATCAGTATGTTTTCTCTTGAGAATGTAAGCTGTTGGGGTCAGGGTTCTATTGGTTATTTAAATTTTTTAAATGTAAAACACACTTCTGGGGGCTATAAAAATAATTTGAGGCAGACATTCAAATGAGAAATGTCTCTTTCAAATATTCACTTTCTGTTGATTGTCAGCTAGTTAGATCCCCTGCTTTCTCTACTGATGTAATTTAAGAAACTCCCTTTTTCATGCAGGGAGGGAAAAAGGGGGTTGTTTTTTTTCCTCCATTTTCACAATGGGAATGGAACTATTAAGTATTTTTAAAAAGTTGTTATAGAATGAATGTAGTTCTCATTAAAAGTTGCCATATGGCTGATGAAACTTCCCACACAACAGAAGCAGGAACAGGTGTACAGGCACCTGCTGCCCTAAATATGCACTTCATCCTTGACCAACAGGAATCACTTCTGAGAACACGGGGGTAACTGTGTCATCTCCATGCCTCCTTCAGTTGTTGGTCTCTGCTGAGACTGCTAACAAGGGCACCAATTACTGCTAACCATAATGTTTTGATAAGTGAATACTTGCCTGCTAAGAACTGGACTGTGAGATGACCAGCTCAGTCCACCCAGGCCAATAAACACCTATCAGATAACTATTTTTGGTTAATCATAACATGCTCCAAATTGACACAGGATCCAGAGATGACATATTACATCTGGGATCTCCTGAATCATCTAGTCCCTCCAAAAAGGTATAAATACAAAATTTATTTACATAAGTTAGCTGAGACTGAAATAAATGCCTGTCGGACTTTCACAGTTTAGAAGTAAAAAAGTTTGATGTGACAGTGCCAATGTTAACTTATGATGAAGGTTCTAGTTGCTATGCCTTACTTAAGGCTTAGTTGAGTTTTACACTTAACGCAGGGATTTAACCTTTTTGGGTTTGGGGTTTGGTTTTTTTTTTGTTTGTTTTTTAGATTAATCTCTTGGACTGGAAGAAAGATTGACCCAGTAGGTGTTGACTACATTCTTCAAAAATTGGGCTTTCATCATGCCAGGACTACTATTCCTAAGTGGCTTCAACGGGGGGTAATGGACCCACTGGACAAAGTTCTGTCAGTCCTTATCAAAAAACTTGGTACTGCTCTACAGGATGAAAAAGAAAAGAAGGGAAAAGACAAGGAAGAACACTGAAGATGTAATTTGTAACTAAACTAATTTTATTTCCATTCTGTCTGAGACTGATACTTTATTGTATAATAAGAATTTATTTTAAGTATGATTTAAAGAGAAACCTAACAGCTTTTTTGCTACTATATTTAAAACTTACATTGTAAGTGACTGTTTACAGTGGTATACGATACCATTCTGTATGTGGTAAAGTATTGCATGATTATGACCAATGTATATTCTGTGAAAGAATAGGTGAAATACTGTAAATCTGCTGTTTAGCATTAACAGTTTTATTATGTGCAATATGATTCCTGCATCTTTAAAATATGTGCAGATTAACTGTGAATTTTCATAACTTTCATTGGCCATAACACACACACACCCTTGTTAATGTGATTCTGTTAATGGCTTTTTTTGTCAATGTAGACTTGTATAAATTCCTGTATGTATATAATTTATGGAACTGTGATTGTTATAGTGCTAAAAATCATTTTAAGTTTGTTACACTTGTAATAAAAAACAGTAACTGTTATTATTTGTTTTTAGTTCCTTTATTCTCAAAACGTAGCAGTAAGAAGTGTTAGTGGGGCATGCTCGCCCATGTCCCCTAATTCAAGCATTGGAAACAGATTACATTACAGAGTTTTAATTGTACAAGTACTAGAAAAAAAGTTTGGAGTTTATAATGTCTTAAGCTGTAATGGAATGGGGACAGGCAGAGCTAGGGGAACAGCTATTAATAATGAAATAAAAAAATGACAGCCTATGCAATGCAAATCTGAGAGTTTAATACAGTAAATAAAAATCTGTCTTCCACCCTCTGGAAGCCTATAGGAGCCTGTGGAAGCTATGATTTTTTTTCAGTCTTTTTTTATTGAATAAGACTTCTAACACTTGAACATCACAAATTACTTTGCTCCTCTCAGGATTACTGAGAACTTTATATGGTGGGGTGTGTGTAGCTTAACACTTTTGCTTGTATCTATTACACATTTTTAAAGCCCATTAGTCAATAGTGCCCTGTGAATAAAGTTCAAATTACATGTCTATACATGCAAGCATAGCTGCACAAAAACAAAAATAGTTCTTCTGGCCAGTTGCCTTTGTAATGTGTCCTTCAATCACACATGCACTTACTCATCTAATGAAAGACGAGGAACTGTACCTTTTATGTGGTCACTGTAATTCACCTTTCTATAGTATTTTTCTGTTAAATATTTGTTCTTTAAAATGTTTATTTCCTCTTCACATGTAAACCTGGGTGCTGTGGATATTATCACCTGAGCCGTCTGCAGCTGAAAACTAGGTCACTGTTGAGGACTCTTGTTCTAACTTTTCCCATGTACAAAATTGGGATTATTCTTAAAAGTCTCTAACGTGGGGCTTTCCCCTAGCGAGGCAGAGGCTGATGTTTCTTGCCGCAGTGGGTGGGGTTCGTTTTACGTTCTACTTTTTAAAGAGCCAGGCTCCAGCCACAGGAAAATGTCTAGACGGGGACCAGCGCCAGTAGCTGCGCCAGGGGCTGTCCCGTGCACACAGCAGGACCCAGTGGGCGCGGGAGAGAGGAGGCATAACGGCCGCGCTGCTGTCACCTCCCGGCGGCTGGGCTTTGGCGCCCGAGCGCACTCCTCCCCGAGGCCGGTTCCGACTCCCTGACAATGAGCGCTCCGAGGCCCCTAGAGGGGAAGGAGCGTGGCTGGGCGGGCGGCCAGCGCAGGGCACGGTGCTGCTTCGGGAAGCAGAGTCCAGCTCCCGTGAGAGGCGGCAGGTGCACGACAAAGCACCTGAGCCTGGGGCCGCCCGCCCCATGGGGAGGGGTGGCCGCTGGCCGGTCATGCTGTTGTTGCGCCCGCTCAGGGCTAGAGGGTTGCAGGACGCTGGGCGGCCCGCTCAGACTACCCGCACAGCCGGGGGGAGGCGCGTTAACGGTCTCGATGTGGCGCGCTCCCCGGCGAGGTGAGGGATACGGAGACCTTGTGTGACCTAGGCCGAGTGCGTATCCCACTCCCCGTCCCCGCACTGAGCCGCCTCGAGCCAGGCCCGGCGGCACCACGAGCCGGCCCGGCGGCGGTTGGTCGGAGGATCACGTGATCTGAGGGCGAAGCCTTTTGAGAGACGCCCCCGGGCCCCGCTGCCGGCCAGGGAAGCGGACTCGGGGGGTGTCGGGTCACGTCACGCGCCCCTCTTTGTTAGTTGGCCCGGGCACCGGTCTTGAGCAGACGCGTCGGTGCGGACGGAGGGAGCCGCCGAGGGGAACTTAAATCACTGCAGGGGGCCGCTCTCGCGGGAGACTCTAGTCCCCTCGCTCGGTGCAGGGCCCCGGGGTGGTGCTGGGGCAAGCCTCGGTCACGGGGCACGGCCTCGTCTTCGAGCCTGTGTCCCGGAGAGGGGGCTGCAGCGTGATCCTCACCTGGCGCAGCCAGTGGCTTGCGCTCCCCAAGGGAGGCGGCCCCAGTGCGCGCCCCTTGCTGCGCCCGCCCTGCAGCGCGGTGGGGCTGACACAAGCCCCTGGTGCGGGGAAACCGCAGGGAGTCTTGGCCGGGCGCTGCCGTCGCCGTTCTTCTCCAGTGCGCGGGTAGGTGGCATGGCGTCAGGCTGGGATCCCTTCCCACGGGAAGCCTGGCCCGCCGGGGGCACCTGCCCGACAGTGGGACAAAGGAACCTTCCCGTCCTGTTTGCCTGAGCCAAAGGGGCTAGAGCCTGAATCGGCGTGAAAGCCAGGCACGTGGGGCTCCGCCTTGCTGAGCCTGGGCAGCCGTGCTGGAGCTTCCGCTCCCATTGCTTTTGTAATCTAGGGTAGGGGTTCGGGTTCTCAACTTTTTTTTGTTTGTTTGTGTTTTTCTGAACAGCCCCCAGTATGCTATAAAAAATCCAGGGCCCTCCTGAGCCACCATAACTGGTTTTCTGCATATAAAAGCCAGGGCCGGCATTAGGGGTAGCAAACAGGGCAGTTGCCTGGGGCCCCAGGCCACAGAGGCCCCCACAAAACTACATTGCTCAGGCTTCAGCTTCAGCCCTGGGTGGTGGGGTTCATCGGGGCCTGGCTTCAGCTGCACGTGGTGGGGCTTCAGCTTTCTGCCCTGGGCCCCAGCAAATCTCATGCTGGCCCTGCTTGGAGGGCCCCTCCCCCCACCCTCGAAACCTGCTTGATGCCCCCTAGAGGGCCCTGGACGCCTGGTTGAGAACTACTGATCTAGGGCACCTGGGACTCAGCAGAGCAGTTGCCTTTCAAATTGTGGCTGCAAGGAAAGGGGAAAAGTTCTTAGCTGACTGATAGCATTGCCATTGTCTCCCTATGTTCTGTTTTCCTCCCTTTTGTAAGTTTGGGTCTCAACTACTATTAGTGTGCTTTTGAATTTAGTAATTTTATTTATTAGCAGAAAGAATCAGGAGGTATGAAACATGTAAAACTAATTTGTGGGGAAATTTTCCAGATTTGCTAGGCTATGCTAATGTTCAACAGCCTTAAAAATATCTGTTGGCTAAATTTGGCTCTTAGGTAGGTGGAAAAATGGCTTGCAACAATGACTGGTTTCAAGGTTCCAGAGTACCCAGTTTTGCTCAGATGCTAAAAAAGAACTTACCCACTGAACCCCCTCCTCAAGTCTCTCCTCAGCCATCTCCACACTCTGTGAATATGGGCCTGATGTTTTCATCTTCTGAAAATTACAGCATGCCAAATTCAGCATGTAATGTGACACAAATCACAGGTATTGTCTTTAAGTTTATTAAGCTGATTTTCTTCTAAGAATGGCCTTTCAACACTCGTACAAATAGCTTTGCAAAACTGTAATGAAAATTAACCTGCCTAGATATGCCATCTACTTGCTTTTTACCAGGATCATTCATAATGAAAAATATTTTACTTACCGATTGAAAAAAATAACATTGAGGGCAAATAAAAAAGTTAGAACTATTAACTTTAATTTTTATCTTTTTATTCTTGTACATGTCAGTAAAACATATTATTTGACTGTTTCTTAATTATTATCCAGCAGTGGTGTAAATAAAGAGATGCAGCCTATTTAGATTTTACATCACGTGTAACATCTATGGAATTTGTGTATATAAACTGAGTGACTCTGCAGGTGGAAGTACAGGGAATTTTCATCTTAATAAACTTGGATAACTATAAACACTTTTCAGAAATAGCTTTTCTGTAAAAGAGAAGTGTAGAATCCTCATCTTTACAGCCCTCTAAGCTAATGCTATCTCTCAGCTGACTAATCTGCTCTCTGCCTTCATCCCAGTCTCTCTTGCATTAGGGTAACTTCTACCTGGAACCTGCAGTTGAGGATCCATGTGGGTGCAGGGGTCTGCCCAGCTAGCGTTCATTCTTTCATCAGGTCTATAATGTGTACACAGCACTTCATATAAAGTGCACCAACATGTATATAACCTGCTTTGTGTGCATCATCTTTTGTAGAAAAAGCTGAGAATTTTAACTACAGTTTTGTTTGATAGTAACAGATTCCCTGTCCCCCGTACATATGTAACTTTTGAATGCGGGAGTTCAAGATTTTAGCAGGTAGTCTTATTTCTGAGTCTTTTTTGTCTATCAGTATGTTTATTATAACTGAAGAGGAACTCTGCATCTGTATAATTTAGATGCAGCATTTATTTTATGTGGCAGGTGCTTGTGTGTATTTGTGAACTGAACTTAATAATATTTTTGTGCCTTTTTGGAGAAAAATGTTTCTCCTGTGGTTAAAGCTCAAAACATACTTGGATAATTGGGCAGTGTCTTGCTTAGGAAAAGTAATCAAGTTTAGATCGGGCTAAGATAGCCCATGCTAAAGTCCAGTCTTTTTTCTAGTGTAGATATGGGGTAACACCAGTGCTGTATCCTAGGCACCTGCATGATCCGTTAAAATGGACCTGAGGGCCCATGGCGTGAGGCAAAAACAATATTATTGCCTTTTGTGATACTGTAGTAAAGAACTATGGATTGTGCTTCTGCTATTTTTGTACGCCATGAAACAGATTTTTATGTGTTAAATCAGATAAACAGGTAATCTCTGGAAGTCCTTATTTCCCTGGAAATTATGGCCTTTGGTTCTGGGTTTATATGTGACTGGGTTTGACTTCAGAGACTATCAGGTTTACTAGTCAAGGAACAAGCCCTAGTGCCTTTAAAGGGGTAGGCACTAACATTTACAGGGTTACCAAAACTACTTACAACCTCTTCCGTTAGAATTAAAATACAAATTGCTTAATCTTCCAGGTTGCCGTTGTTGAGATGCAGCAATACTATTCTCACACTTTCATTTTACTTTTGTATATTGCTTTTAGCTTAGTACACACTAACATCTTAATTTAACAAATATATTTTAGGTCATGTTTCAGACTTGCTATGTTCCAGAGCAGCCCATCCACTTCCAATCACTTCACTTCTTCCAAAGAAAATACCAAAGGAGTTTATACTAAAATATAAACGTGGGGAGATGAATCCAGTATCTGCCTTGCATCAGTTTGCACAAATGCAGCGTGTGCAACTAGATTTGAAGGAAACTGTTACAACAGGTAAATGAGAGTGTCCTTGTTGCCTCATGAAGTTGCTCTGTATGCAGTTGGTGTAACTGGCTGATACAGAAACTAATTTTTTTTTAAATGTTGGTTGCACTGTGTGTAGAATTAACAGCTATTTTTACTATGCCTATATCATGCCTTCATGTAATCCAATCAGTGGTTAATGTGGTCACTACAAAATCAATTACAGAAAAGGAAAAAGCTCTCACCTTGGTCTTTGAGTACTTTTTTCAGGTACTTTTTAGACCATTAGTTCTTATAGTATATGTCTACACTGCAGTTAGATACCCCTGGCTGGCCCATGCCAGCTGACTCAGGCTCGGTATAAGGGGCTGTTTAATTGCGATGCAGATGTTCAGGCTCAAAGTGGGAAGATCCCAGAGCTCAGGCTGCAGCCTGCGCTCAAATGTCTCATCACAATTAGACAGATCCTTAGCGTGAGACCCACGAGTCCAAGTCATCTGGCATGGCCAGCTGTGGGTTTTTAATTGCACTGTAGACATACCTATAAGCTGTCATTCTAATTATAAGCAACTTTATTTACAACTTGGCTTTCTAAATTTGTACCAAATATGAGTTAATATTACGCGACCTTGAACATACTCATTTCGTGATGTGTAATTTGCATCCTCTCCGCTTATGTGTTTTGGGGATGGTTCAGCTTGATATTTGGTCACAGTGGACCTGCATCTGTATGGAGAGTTTAATGCTTTTTCAGTGCTATTCAGTTGAATCCTCCCAGACTGAATCAGATATGGTGGGACTATGCAGGAAGTGAGCCAGTCAGTGAAAGATCCGTGTCCACCCAAGGCTAACTTGGTTAACAGATCAAACCATGGCAATGACAGGAGGTTGTCCTGTCATGTGCAGTGCAGTGCAAAAAGAGATGGAACCTGACCTTTTGAAGGTCTTGTTTTCATTGGGCTCTCAGCTTACTAGGAAGTAATGTGTCTGTTAAACTAACCCAAGAGGAAAGCTGAGATATTGGCAAACTGGAATTCTATTTTTTGACACAGACTTTGATGTTGGGAAATACATTTTCGGAAGTTTTACCATAAGCCCCCTTTTTCAGAAGTGACTTGAGGACTTAGGAGACTTAGTCTGATTGAAAGGCTATAGAATTTAGGCTCCTATATCACTTTTGAAAATGGAACACAGGCTCTTGAGTCTAGGTGTTCTTGAAAATTTTACTCTTAATTTCTCTCTGAAGCTCAGGTCCCAAACATCACACCACTACTGAGAAGTAGAAAAATAGCCTCATTTTACAGAAGCGTTGAATGGCCATAGTTTTCACTAAAATGAAAGGCACTTAAGTGAAGGCACTAAAATGAAATGCCTAGCATCTCTGAAAAATTGGGTTTTTCATTAATGTGTATAAATCTATTTATGAATCTTGGGTGAAAGGTGAAATAAGGTATAAAATATAATTCTTGTAAATGTAAAAAGTAGTTTGGATTTGTTAAAATATCTTGGCCTTATATTCATCTGATTTTCCATAATTATAAATGCACAAAGCTAATGAATACATTAAAATAAAATTCTAACTGTATACGGCTTCTTTTTCTAGGCAACGTCTTGGGGACTTACTTTGCTTTTTGTGCAGTGGTAGATGGAGTTCAATATAAGACAGGATTGGGGCAAAACAAAAAGGAGTCTAAATCAAATGCAGCAAAACTGGCTCTTGATGAGCTACTCCAGTTGGAAGATACAGCATCAAAGGTTTTTGAAAGTTCAGGTAAATATTCCAGTAACATCTCTACAATAAAAGTATTTTTAAAAATAAATGTGTAGAGTAGCTTTGACTAAACACTCCTGCATCAGTGTCTCTCTGCCCATTCCAATGAATCCTTCCAGCAGAGTTAATCGGTTTGCAATCCTTAAATTTTCCCTTTCCTGCTCTTGTATTTTTAAATGCTGCTTTCAAGGTTCCTGCTATGTACAAAGAGGAGAAAACAATAAGTTAACCCTTTAAGCAGTTTCTTTTCTGTAGAGTCTTCCATGTTATTACAGCTATTCTTTCCAGTAAAAAATTATTTTAAATTTTGTTCATGGTCTTTGACTTCTTGTATTGGAAGTCCTATTGCACTAAGTCACTGCTTTGTGAAGAATTCAGTCATTACAACGTTGATCTCCTGCTTTTTTGAGACAAGGACTTTATTAATAATCTTCTGTCCTCACGTGCTATAGCTTTGAAAGAGAGCAGTACTTTATAGAATGTGGACTAATTTAGGGGAACTAAATTAATTGTGAAGTAGCTTATTTTTGTTCAATGATAAAACAATTGACAGATGGCAAAGTGTGAATTTAAATTATCCTGATTGTTTGAGGGTCTTCCTATTTCTATTTATGTAACTTGAAAAAATTGTTTCCAATAACCTTTTATTTTGGGACTTTAACTAAAATGTAACTACTCTACTGCTAGAAACACTAAATGACAATGAATGTTTTAAAGTCTTAAATGTTTCCCACAGTTAAAACTTTCTTATTTTAAATTTACAGGTCCTCCCCAGATTCCTGCAGAACCCATAGTTTCAGCTGAATCGATATACATGTCAAAGATGCCTTATGGTAGGAAATCTATTTTCCCTCATAGAAAATTAAATTGGAAAGCTAACTGATGTCTTTACAGAGTTGTATTTGGTATTCATTCCTGCCAACTTAGTGATAACTATGAAAATATTACTACGTGGTTCATGCAGGGATGTCTCTGCTTTAGTAACACTAATCTCCCAGGGACGTCTGAGGTAAGAGTGGTGTACCTGTCATATAGATGGATAAATACACAGATGAACTTGCTTAAAGTCAAACAGTGAGTCAGTGGCAGAGTTGGAATTAACATTTCTGTCCTCACGATATAAAAGGCTATGTCTAATAGATTGCATTTAGGGAGCATACCAGCATAACTTGCTTGAGTTTTCTTATTCTCAATTCTTCATATGCACTTTTAATTTTTAAATTAAAAAATGCCTATTGGCATTATTTAGTATGGATTAGTGAATGTACTGAATGACTTTATCATATGTTCAGTTTTGTAGCTTATCTGAATGGTTGACATTGCTTATTTCTGTTTTTTCCTACAAAGTTGTATTTTGCTGGTTTCTACAGTATTTTTTCTTTTTAAATTATTTTGTTCAGTAGAGAGAAGGCATCTTGTGTATGAAAAATTTTCACGAGTTGTCAGGGAAACCTTTAACAGTCTGGCTGCCAAATATCCTGAGTACCAGAGTTGTAGAAATTCACTGGCTGCTTTTATAATTGAAAAAGGCAAGTCTATTTTGAATGTTCAGTGTACTTGTATGAAAAAACTCGTATTTGTAGGGTGCATATACCAAAAGGGGTATTGAGCATAATATAGCAATGTAGATTAACCTGTATAGTAGCCTAATAAATTGCATAACCAGCAAACCATACTCCTTTTGACGTACCATAAAATCATCTATAAAAAACAGAACATAATTGTACTTCCCTTTTAAGGATATTATAAATATAGATTTGTACGCATTGAAATGGAAAGCATTCCATTATGTTAGCCCTCACCAGAAAAGATGAAAGATGCAAGCCTTCTCAAGATTGTTGGGGTTGAAACTGCTTCATAATCTCACTTGTTCAGGCTTACTTTTCATTTTGAATTTTCAGATGGCAATCGCAAGAAATTATTTGTTTTGTTATATGCGTTTCACTGGGAGGTCTCAATAAATTAAATTTAAAGGGTTGCTTCTCAGGATAACACATTTCATAGTTGAAAGCTTTACATTATTCATTCATTATAGCACCTTGGGGTCCCTGTTTTGGGCTGGGAATCTATTGTGCTAGGTCAGAGGTGGGAAAACTACCGCCCGGGAGGCTAGCCCCCGGCCCCTCCCCCGCTGTCCCCCCTGTCCAGCAGCTACACCACTGCGCAGACAGCTCAGCTTGCGCCCACCCACCTCCCAGGATTTCCAATAAGCCTGTCCTGCTGCTCTGAGCGGCCTGGTAAGGGGGCGAGGGGTGGGGTTGGATAAGGGGCAGGAGGTTTCGGGGGGCAGTCAGGGGACAGGGAGAAGGGAGGGTTGGATAGGGGGTGGGGTCCCAGAGGGGGGGGCAGTCGGGATAAGGAGTGGGGGGTTGGATGGTTCCGGGAGGTCTGTCAGGGGATGGGGGGGGGTTGGATAGGGGCAGGGGACAAGGAGCAGGGGGGGTTGAATGGGTCAGTGGCTCTGAGGGGGGCAGTCGGGGTGGGAAGTGGGACGGGGCAGGGGCCAAGCTGTTTGCAGGCACAGCCTTCCCTACCCAGCCCTCCATACCATTTCACAACCCCTATGTCGCCCTCGGGCCAAAAAGTTTGCCCACCTCTGTGCTAGGCGCTATACAAGCACAGAACAGATATAAGCCTTCTGGGGCAGGGACTAATTGAAGTAAATTCTGATATGAAGTAATTGGAGCACACTCACTGGACCAAAGTTAGACAGTACAGAAAATGCGGATAGATAGATATATGTTCTTTGAAATCATAGGCCATGTTGTGCAGTAGATGCAGCCTACAATGACTTTCAGGGATATCACCAAATAAAGTACCATCTGTGATGGGATCCCCATTTGTGGGACTTCTGTGCCCCCTTAACTCTCCAGCCTGTGCTGTCTGTCGCAAAGCTTTGCTAGGACAAGCAGCAAACCCCACCAGGTGCTGTTATCACTCAGCACAACCACATGTGGAGCCCCACACCCATCTAGATTTCATGAATGCTCCCAGAGCCACTCATGAATCACAGAGAGAGGAACCAGCAAAATTCCCCGCAGCTTCCAGCATTGTACCTCAGGAATATACCGTCTTGCACTGCTCAAAACCCTTTCTTGAGCAATGCAAGTTTATTAATTGGTTCACCACTTCAATGAAAAGTGGATATACACCGGCCTTTGTAAACCTGAGCAGATTTACCAAACGCTTCAGGCAAACTCATTGGTAAAGATAAACATTAAAACAAGTTTATTGATGACAAAAGAGAGCTTTTAAGTGATTATAAATGATAGGCAAAAAGTCAGTAGTTACCAAAAGAAAATATAAGCCTTCAGTCTAAACCTTAACCTTTATCATGCTAGACAATATTTAGGTCAAGCAGTGTTCTGACCCAACTGGATCTTCAAGTCCTTAATATACAGGTTTGTCTCTTAAACCTGGGCCAATCTCCTTTGTTGGAATCTTCAGCCTTCTGAGCGTTCTTGTTGCTTGCTGCGTAGGTAGTGGGAGGAGAAAAGGCAAGTGCATGGGGCCACTGTGTTCTGTTTTATACCCTTAGTCTATGTGCTTGGAGAACATAAGTCTAGGCATGTCTGGTGGGCATTGCTGAGTCACCAGGCAAGGCTGAGCAATTCCCCTGGTGTGGCCTTGTACAAGTGAGTCATTGCATTGTAGTTCCCTTGCTGGACAATGGCTGTTGATGGTTGTTTGATACTGCCCAGGTGTTGGCTATCCCCCTGGTTATTGTCTTTGGGGAGCTAGTATCTGGGTGCATCCCATACCCACAGCATATTTTAGTGACAGTCATACAACACAATTCTCATAACTTCATAAGCATTAATGATATACGTAGTTAGAGGGAACAGTGGGTTTCAGCAGATCATAACCTTTCCCATGATATCTCACATATCTTTATATGAAATATCACAATTATATTCAAATGATGAATCTGGGGGGTTGCAGGATGCTCCCCCGAGGTATAGTTGTTAGCTAGCCAAGAGGTCCTGAAGATGTAGAACACTGTACAGAAGAATAGACTGACTTCCGTGTATTTAGAAATGAGAAGTTACTTTTGACAATAATCAGTATGTGAGGTGCCATATTTGTATTGCTTTCCAATGGTCTTTTTTCCATCTTTGGGGGTTGCCTTATTCTGCTCTACTGATGGAATCTGCAATTCATGGAAGAGGATACTATAATTCTCACGTGCCTTATCTTTCTGCTACAATGTTGGACCCTAGGGCATATTTTTAAACTCTGGTGTTACCATATGTTAACAACAAGGTCAGGGAGTTAGGCGTGGGAGGTTTTGCTGAGATTCTATCTGTAATGGGGGAGAGCAATGTTGACATCATCTAGGATAGAGAGAGGCAGTTGCAATGATCTTAAAAAGGGGATTAACAGGATGTAGACAAGTTTTCAGAGATGGAGAGAAAAAGAAAAGAATCTTTTTGGCAAGGCAAGGAGAGGAGGACAAAGTAGTAACGCAAAAAAGATTGAGTAGTGGGGTGAAATAAAGGGAGAGCCAGATATACTGCAAAGATGCCAACTTGGGGAATGGGGAGGATGGTGGAGTCCTGCCAGTATGGAGAAGGGAAGGGAAACCATGAGCTTTGTTCTTATCATATTGATCTTAAACTGATGGGACATCCTGAAGGAGACATCACCCAGATGGTTGTGGATGTGGTAATAAGGAAACCAAAGTAGTGAAATGGGCTTGAGTTGTCACTGCAAAATTAACAAACTCTGGATGAAGCTCTGAGGGGCAGCAACAGAGGAAAAGGGAGATGATACACACTGAAAGCGTAGCAAAGGAGATTGAAGGAGAAGAGAGGTATTTGAGCATTTAACGAAAACCCTTGGAGGTGAGTTTCACCGAGATAACGGTAAGATCCAACTGTGCTGAATAGAGTTCAAATTAATCTCTGTACACAGAGTACAATACCATCCTTTTGTCTTCCCCTGCCTCGTACTTAAGTTAGTGCCTAAGTCATCTGCACCATTGATACTCACTGAGCCATAGATCTTTTTTTCTGTGCCTTGAGGTAGGCAAAGTTGGTGCAAGCTGTAACTGCACTTGATGCATTTATCTTGCTGTCACTTAGCAGTCTGAGTTGAAAGAGTTAAGGGAGTCATCAGTCTCTCTCAAGATTTTTAAAAGTCCCCCACAACTATTTCTTCTGATGTCTCTGTGGAAACGGAGTAAAAACTACTTCTCTCCCTTCCAGAAGAGCAGAGTTCTGAATTCTTCTCCGTTATCCCCTTCAGTTTACAATTTGTCAAGGACTTACAGGGTCAGTGATATACCAGGACTTTAAAAGTATAGTGGTCCACAGGTGTGTAATGAAATGTTTTTAAAATATGCTCTAAATTCTTATGGTAAAGAGGTATTTATTTTCATTTACCAATCAAATTTCCACCGATAATTAAATGGTGGCCTCATAAGATTAAATCACTCTTCTCTTCTCCCCTTTTACACTATAATCAAAAATGGAATCCTTTTAATTCCTCCTTTAAAAGCAGTTGCTTTAAAAAGATGGGATCCTTCAATCAAATGAAACTACTTGTTAACTACTTTTTCTTTTTAGCTGGACAGCATGAAGTTGTTGCTCTAGGCACAGGAGAATTCAATTACAGTCAGTGCATTCATCATGGTGGGAGAGTGTTGCATGACACTCATGCTGTTGTTACTGCAAGACGCTCTCTGCTTAGGTAAGAAGATGAGTACGTAAACTAAGAACTGCAGACAACCGTTTTGATTAATCTAAATATTGATGTCAATGCATTTTGTGAATAGTAGTTTTCTATAGTTAGGGCTACTGTTTGGGAGGTTTATTAACTTAATTTTTTTAGCAATTTTTGAGTTTTATGGTGCTGTCCAAAAATTGGGGCTTTTGGAGGGTTTTTTTTTCTGTATGTAGTATATTACACAGCTTTTCTCATTACAGTAATATTTACTCTTAATAATGTTGTTCCCTAGTGCACTTCAACATAGTAGTGTTGCAAACAGTACTAAGTAAAAACTCATCAAGGAACCTTTAGTGTACACTAGCAGGGTCTACATGGGCCAGTCAATGTGTGGCATTAGTGTTCTTTAGAAATCACACCCCTATAGTCTGCATTACTGCTCTGTGTAGACAAGTCCTCGGATATAAGTAACTGTTCTGGGTGTTTTTCCAGTGTTTGGGTAGTCACCAATTTCTTTTTTGTATTGAATGGTGTTTTATTGGTGTCTGTGGATTAAAAACAAGTCAGAAGCCTTATATAGAGAATTTCAGGTTTCTTTACTAGATTATTTATTCAGATCTTACAGATGTGCTGAATAAAATAGTTGTCTAAATGCTCAGCAGCTTAAAATGAATTTAGTTTTTTATACAAATATGCTAAGTCTTTTAAAGTCTGCATATTTCAACATTTCTTGATCTATAACACTTTGTTGTAGGTATTTTTACAGGCAGCTTTTGTTGTTCTACAGTAAAAATCCTATTATGATGGACAAATCCATATTTTGTATGGAACCAGCATCAAGCCTGCTCAGTATAAAACAAAAAATAAATATTTTTCTCTACATGAATCAGTTGCCAAAAGGATCTGCTCAGATAAAGTCACAGTTGTAAGTATGAGTCTTCAAATCTAACAGATGCTTATTCAGAGATGTAATAAGATACTTAAATCTTCTATTGAGAATAAATTAATCTTCATCATAGTGAGGAGCATACATAGCAGGACTATAAATCAGATGGTATGGAAAAGTTGAGGTTTTGGGTTTATTTGATAGAACTGTGTTCAAAAATATCTTGATTCTGTAACTAATAGACTGACAAATGTGTATTTTGGAGCTTTTCCTTTTATATGTACACACTAAAATTGTGTAGTGTGACGAGAAAAGAACTGTTTTCATTGTATGACGTATTACTCGACCGTGGTACTTAAGACTGTTGTTGCTGGAATGTTAATGTTGACTGCTCATACTTTCAGAAATTCTTGGAGTTTAAAATAGTCCTTTCAAGCTAAAGTTAGAATAGACTTCTAGGGAGTCACCCGAAGTGGAGCCCTCACAAGGAAACTACTTGAAGAGGAGGATACTCACTTTGTCGATTTCTTCGAGATGTGTGCCCTTGTGGCTGCTCCACTACCAAGCTCTGCTCCCCCTTGCTTTGGTGTTTCCTCTGTCAGACTTTGTGGTAGAGAAGGAACTGAGCATGCACAGGCGAAATGGGCGCTACCAAAAAATGATTAAAGATGCAGGGTGCATGCGCACCTGGAGTGGAGCACCCCAAGTGAGATACACCTCAAAGAACTCAGGTTACTACACAAGGTGAGTAACCTCTCCTTCCTTTGAAACAATAGTTTGAGCTTCTCATTGAAATCTGCCATTTGGTGGTCTCTGACAATATTTTTGAGGTGTCTTGATCTTGAGGCACGAGATTGCTTAGATACTAGCAGATGGCTTTTGTCCCAAATCCCGTCAGCATGGAGAGCTCTTTGAATAGCATATTTAAGTATAGAAAGTTTTGTTTGTTGCAATAGTAAATAGCCCAACAAAACCATGTGAGATGGCTTCATGTTGGACACTTGTGTAAGTATTCCTATGTTGGCAAAACGTGTCGCTTTATTAGCAGGTTTTAGTATGCTTTTCTGAGAAGAAATTAAGATAAATGGTAGATGAGCAGTGCTGCCCGCAATTAGTGCCGCTGTATGCCTGCCACACCATGGGTTGGGTGGCTGGGGCAGTATGCAGGACCTTTAGCCCAAAGTCACAGGCCTCTGCTGCCTGAGGAGCTCTCTAAGCTAAGAGCATTACTAAGGTCTTTTCTGTTTGGAATAGCCACTAAGAAGGAACATAGCATACTAAGCCAATTTTACATCTGTTTTCTTCAAATATGTCGGAGCGTGAAGGTTTTTTAACTGTTGTCTCAAATGAGTGGCAAGTTTGCATCTGCTTTCATGTGGCAAACATAGCCTCCAGATAACTTGCAGTCAGATGCATAATGTAGCAATAGTAGCCTACTTGCAGTAGAATTTCAGTTTTGCATGACTAGTGATGATTAGGATTTTGAGACTCATTAGGCTGAATTACTGCTTCCTCTGGTCAATTTGAATAGTCAGTAATATAGTTATTTATAAGAAAGTAGCTTAAGTCATCATATTAAACCTTTTATGTCTTGGACACTCCATTTGGAGGGTTTGGGGTTTTTTTTTGTTGTGGAGGAACAAGTTCTATGACTTTGCATTGCATCTAGAAAACATTGACATAGCAATCTAGTAATGAAGTAATTTGGTAGTATAAGCAGATTTTGGCATTTTAAACCTTGAAAGGTAATGAACAATGCTTGTCAATTTTGTTTCTTAGCCGTCTTTTTATATATATATTTTTTTTTAAAGAAAATATTTTTGTTGGACTTCATTGCCTTTTCTGTAATCTTTATTTTAGACGTCTCAATCCAAATTCTGTATCTGCATTTGAAGCTAATGAAGAGCTTAGTCTCCATCTTGCTGTGGAAGGCAAGATTTACCTAACTGTTTATTGTCCCACGGAAGCTGCTAGCCGAGTAAACAGCATGTCAGCTAGTGACAAATTAACCAGATGGGAAGTGCTGGGTGTCCAGGGAGCATTGCTAAGTCACTTCATTCAGCCAGTTTACATCAGCAGTATACTTGTTGGTAAGCCTTCCTTTACTGATGTAAAACAATCATTGCTTATGCCCTAACTTTCAGCTGTGGTATTTCATTCTGGTTACATTAATAAAAATTCTAACCAAGTGGAATATAATGCTTTATTTTAAAATTTGTTTTGAGTTTTCTATACTTAGTTTTCAAAAAGAAACTAAATATAAATGTATTTATACTTAAAATTGAGGTTTAACTTTTTTGAGATTATAATATGTTCTCCACTCTGTCAGATTACCCTCTCTGTCATCATACATCAATTCTAAATTTCCTGGGTTTAGTTGGTTTGTCACAGATGCAGTTATTCTGTCTTTAGAAATAAGATGATGTTACAAAGAATGTGATGACCATTTAAATTCAGACCATTTAAATAACTTGCATATATGAAAACTCCCAACTATACAGTCCCATAATTAGACAGTACAAAGTAGAGGTGATCAAAAAACTTGAACATTTTCTGTTGAATTTGCAGGGGTAGTATGAAAAATGTCATCAAACTCAACATTTATACTAAAACTAGTTGAAGAAAAACCTTTGTAAATCATCTTACTTCCTACTTTTAAAGATTAAAGGTACCTCTAAATTAACTAGTTGGCAATAATTTTATGCTGGGAAATAGTAACTGCCAAGACAATAGCAAGATTTTTTTTGTCATTGTATGACGATCAATGAGTGGCTGCCTTGAATTCCTACAGTAGTATTTGGCTATGCAACTCAAATAGGTGAAATGGAATTGCTGGAAGTAACATGATATTGTCAAGTATTTTCTCTCCTGTCAGCATTTGTACTGTTAAATTAGTTTGCACGTAGATCAATTCCCCAGATTTTAGCAGTTGTGGTGACTTTTCCCGTGATAATATACAGAATGCAGTTTTGGAAGCAGTCTGAGGAGACCGTCTTTTTTTTTTTTTTTTTTTTTTTTTTGCTTTCTCCTAGTACCTAACTGTATGCCTGTTCCTGTCATTCATACAGAGTGTGGACACTGTCACTCATTCTGCTTTTTTAAATTACTTTTACGTTCTGATTTTTTTTAATGTTTAGATTAATGCATACCAGATTCTTTCTTCAACCTTCCCGTACACAAGAACTCTCCAGACAATATGTACCCCTTGGTGCCAGTTTAGTCCTTGATGGAAGTATGTACTTCAGAGCCCAGAAAAGTCAAAGGCTAGGACTGTACTACAGAGCTGACAACTGCACCACTGTGGTGCTGCTAGTGCAGATGCTCTAAGCCAAAGGGAGAGAGGTCTCCAGTCAACTTAAATTACTCCAGCGCCTGTGAGCAGTGGTAGCTATGTTGGCCGGAGAAGCTCTCCTGCTGACATAGCTGTGTCCACACTAGCACTTAGGTCAGTATAACTTATGTTGTTTGTGGGCGGGGTGTAATTCTCACCCCTGAGCAACATATGATATACTGACATAAGTTACAGTGTAGACAGCCTAAATTCAAATCTGATAAGCTAAATGCTTCTGTTAAATTCCTGGAATAAGTTAAAATATAGAGTAACTCCAGTGAGGACAGTGCAAAGGCTGACTTTCTACATCAAAAATAAAGCACCATCGTAGCTTGCATGTTTAATTAGCGTCTTGAGCAAAGACACCAAAGATAAATTGAGCCTCTAGAGAGAAGGTGGTACTTGTTGCGGATGAAGTTTAGCAAACGCTTGTGTTGCCAATGATGATGCTGTTCTGCAGACTTATTAAAGCTGTTTTGTAAAGCTGAACCTAACAGTTATGAGTAATAATTCAACCTGGAACAATTGAAGCTTCTGGATTCTGAGCTCCCTTGAAAATCTGGTCACAATTTACCTGGATTCTGATATTTCTGCTTTCAGTGGTGTGCCTATGTATGGTGTTTTTTTGTTGTTTTTGTTTTGTTTTTAGGGGATGGAAACTGCAGTGATACAAGAGGACTAGAAATAGCTATAAAACAACGTGTTGATGATGCACTCACATCAAAGCTTCCCATGTTTTACCTGGTCAACAGACCTCATATTAGTTTGGTGACCGCTACACATCCAGTTCAGCTAGACTTGGAGCACAGATCTCTTAGTGTGAATTGGTCACAAGGGGACACTTCATTGGAAGTTGTGGATGGTTTAAATGGGAAAATCACTGAAAGGTTAGAATCTTTATACTATGTTCAAAATTAGTGGTGAGCCTGATTACTCTGTGTATGCTTGTGCCTGTCTAAGTAATTTTATTATAACTCTCAAACAGTTCTGGTTTGAGGCCACAGTATTATAGAGTAATTGACAAGTTCTCAACTGTGACAGTGAAGATAAGCCTGTAAACTCAAGTTAGAACACTCAAATTCCTAACTCAGGTGAGTGACTACCCTGCAAAATGTTCAAGCAATAGTGATTTGATTAGCAGAAGAAATTGCTTGGATTAGCAACTGATCAGCTCCAGGGAGAGGAGCATTTGAGCTTCAGACAACACACATGCCACACATGGTCAGGGGTACAACTCTATTTTTACCTTGACCTAACACTAGTGAAGACAAACCCTTTTTGATGATGATGATATGCTTTCTAGTCTGATAGTAAGTCAGGAGGATGTTAGGCAGCAGCTACTAAATGAGCAGGTTCAGATAACTTGCATCTGGGAGTTTTAAGAGCTGGCCTGGAGCTTGCTGGATTGTTAATGCTGACTCTTTTTTTTTTTTTGGAAATATTGCAATTTAGGGGAAATTCCAGAAGACTGGAGAAAGCTAATGTTGTACCAGTATTTAAAAAGAGTAAATGGGACAATCGGGATAATTATAGATTTGTCACCCTAACATTGATCCTGAGCAAAATAACAGAGCAGTTGATACAGGACTCTAATTACAGTAACGCCTCGCTTTAATGTTGTAGTTACGTTCCTAAAAAATGCTACTTTAAGCGAAACGATGTTAAACAAATCCAATTTCCCTATAAGAATTAATGTAAATGGGGGCGTTAGGTTCCAGGGAAATTTTTTTTGCCAGAGAAGAGACTACATTTTATATAGAGAGAGACTGTGGCAAATTGCCAGCACTACTATGATGGGTCTTGCGCTTTCTCTTCTTGGGAGGGGGTTCAGGGCACCGTTTCTTGCCCCTGAACTGGGGTATTAGCTGCCTCACTAGTGTCCTAGAGGAGGGGAATGGAGAGGGAGGGACCCGGGCCCACCCTCTACTCCGAGTCCCAGCCCAGGGGCCCTAGGGATAGTGGTAAATCACTTGAACTAGCGGTTCCTTCCTCTAGGCTGCTTCCCTCTCCTGCCCTTCGGCTTGTGGGGCTTCCTGCCCTCTCTCTGCACAAACCAGGTGTCCCTTTATCTAGGGTCTTGGTCTTCTTAGCCCACCGCAGCACTTCTCCAAACTCTCCTCTGCTTCCCTCCAAACTGCTCTCTGCTCCAACACCAATCCACTCTGCTTCAACTCCTCCCACTTGTCTGGTTGATTGAAGCAGGGGGGTTTTATCAGGTGCTCTAATTGGCTTCAGGTGCTTTAATTAATCTATAGCAAACTTTTTTCCCTCTACAGGGAATAAGGCTCTCTTCTAACACTCTCCTGCTGCCCTCTGGCCTTGCTGTATCACAAGACACACACATATACAGTATAAGTTTTAAACAAACAGTTTAATACTGTACACAGCAGTGATGATTGTGAAGCTTGGTTGAGGTGGTAAAGTCAGACAGTGGAAGAGGGTGGGATATTTCCCAGGTAATGCCTTACTGCTAAATGATGAACTAGTACTCGGCTGAGCCCTCAAAAGTTAACATGTTGTTAATGTAGCCTCACACTCTACAAGGCAGCATGAATGGAGGAAAGGGAGACAGCATGGCAGAAAGAGACAGACACCGTGTGAGAGAGAGACGCGCATTATCCCTTTAAGTATGCTGACTCCACTCTAAGTACATTGCCTTTTTAAGTAGATAAACAAGTAGAGCTTGGAGCTTGCTGGTAGCAGCTGCTTCCATCATGAGCCCTGTCATGTCTCCCTGCTTCTCTGTGGAGATAAGGTACAGGAATGGGGCCGGGGGAAGGGGACACCCTGACATTAGCACCCCTCTTCTCCCCCCTCCCCTTCACAGCAAGCAGGAGGCCCCTGGGAACAGCTCCAAGGCAGAGGGCAGGGTTAACACACACCACTGGGGGGAGGGACAGTTGAACTGCAGGCAATTCATAGCCTGCTGGGCGGCTGCTGCACAGGGAACTTAAGGGAGCTGATGGGGGGCTGCCTGTCCACCCTGGTTCCAAGCCCCCACCAGCTAGCGCCAATGGGCTTCTCTTTCTGCAAGCAGTGGACAAAGCAGGTGGCTGCCAAACAACTTATAAGGGAGCATTGTGCAACTTTAAACAAGCATGTTCTCCAATTGATCATCAATGTAACAATGTTAACCGGGATGACTTTAAATGGGAGTTACAGATATTACCCTCTAATTCTTGGTCATCATGGTTTTATGAAAAATAGCTCCGGTTAAACTAACTTGCTCTTTTCTTTGGTGGAATTACTAGTTGGATCAATAAAGGCAATAGTGTTGAGGTAATACATGTAGACTTCTGTCAGGCACTTGACTTGGTATCTGCATGACTCTTTATTTAAGAAACTAGAGTGAAACAAAATCAATATGGCACAAACTAAATGGATTAAACATTGGCTAGTCTCAAAACATAATTGTGAATGGGGAATCATCAAGCAGGTTTCTAGTGAGGTCCCACAGGGATCGGTTCTTGGTCCTATGTTTTTAACAGTTTTTCATTTGTGACCTAGACGAAAACATAAAATCATAACTAATCAAAGTTTGCAAATGACCCCAAAATTGGGGGAGTGGTAAATAATGAAGAGAACAAGTCACTGATAAAGAGCCATTTGGATCTCTTTGTAAACTGGGCGCAAGCAAAAAATATTCATCTTATTACTGCTAAATGGGAATGCAGACTATACTTACAGGATGAGGCACTCAGTCCTACCCCATGTTCTTTTCAGAGTCACTGCTTCTAGGATAATCTGTTGAGCGTGATCTCCTATGATGCTATTGCCAGAAGGGCTAATGTGATCCTTGAATGCATAAACAAGGCTATATAAAGGAGGAGTAGGGAGTCTGTATTACTGGGCTGCAGAAGTGTCTTCCACAGTTCCGGACATCTGGCCTGCTCTCCTCTCTCTGCATCTCAGAGAAGTGGATCAGTGTTTTTGGCCCAGCATAGTCTGGCCATGTACCCTCTGCTTCCACTTGCTGACAGATTCTCTGCGTTGGCAGCAACATACAATGGCAGTTTCTTTTGCTTCTCCGTTCTTCCTTCTATTTTAACTTATTTGCTCAGTTTCTCGGGCAGTGGGCAGCCCCATTCTCCCGTCTCTGCATTCTTCCTTCTCCATGGGTATATTAACCCCTTGGGGGTTAATGGTCCCTGAGCCTCTGCTGCAGTGCAGTGTCTCTGCTGAAGGTGAGCTGTTTGGCTCTGAAATCTAAGTAGGCTCCCCTAGGTAATCCTCAGAGTAAATTTCTCCACTCAAAACTGCTGCAATACCCCTTCATTCCTCCTTTGAGGAAGTGATTAGGGATGAAAGGAACAAGGCTGATTAGGGCAAGCATGTTAACAAGAGCGACTTCTGTAACTTTCAAAAATCAAAGGGCTCTATTGCTGAGACACCAATGGGTGGGTGCCACTGTAGCATCCCTTGTTTGGGATGTGGTTATTCCCTTAGAAGGAGAGTGCTACACTAAGAAACTTAGGGATAGTGCAATGGAGGCCACTCTCAAAAGGGGCTTTGAAGTTTCTTTCACCACCCTTTGAGCATCCTTGGAGATTTTGCAGGAGCATCTCTTTCCTGGCTGGAAGATCTCAAAGCCTTTAAGGACTGGGATCACCTGACTTTGGCTTCACTTTAAAGAGAGTCTCCCTAACAACAGTGTTCGTAGCTGATGCCTCAAAGAATGCAATGAGGTTCTCAGCCCAAGCCATGGCTTCCATTTCATTAGCCGGGGCCACCTCCGGCTCTGACTCTGGAAGCTGGATACTCTAAGCAGGGCCAAGAAGTTTACAGGCTCCCTCTCTTTGTGGAGAAGCTGGATAAGGTGATGGCTGACAGTTCAGCAAAATCGAAACAGTCTCTCCCTTTCCCACTCAGGAAAGAATATATACCAGCCTTCAGACAGTTTGCTTCTTGTCCTGTGTAGGGACAATAATTCCCCAATGGAAAACAGTGAAATCGATATCTGAGATAAATTCCAGAGGGACTTCACCTTTCCCACCCTCACAATCCACTTTGACAAAGATTGCATATGCCTCCCTCCAGTGCAGAAGCTACAAAGTAGGATATCCTGTTTCCTAGAGGAATGGCTTTAATCAACCACAGATAAGTGGGTCAGGGAAATAGTGATCTGGGGATACTTCCTCAAGCTGTAGTCTCCACCCCATCTCATCCAGTCACCCAGGTTCAACAGCCCTGTAAAACAGTCTGGTCCGCAAAGAAATATGTCATTGTCTGCATTTGGGAGTGAAAGTGTGTTCACTCAAAAGAGAGCTTCTCTGGGTTCTACTCCATCTTCATTGCACAGAAGTGCCTGGAGGGTATCTGAGCCTTTTTTGACTTCAAAAGGCTCAACAAGTGGATGAAGAAAACAAAGGGTTCACATGGAAACCCTGGCCTTTACAGTGTCATCCCTGTCTTGAGGTGGGAACACGGGACTTCTTGACTTCAGTAGATCTAATGGATGCATATATCCATGTCCCCATAAGACTGTGCCATCACAGGCTTCTGAGGTTTGCCTACAACAGGAAACATCAGTACTGAATACTCCCTTTTGGACTGTCCACAGCAAAGATGGTGGTGGTAAGAGCCATACTCAGATTGCAGGACTCGCGTGTTCCCCTTCCTGAATGACATCCTGATCAGAGCTCCATCACAATCAACTGTGGAAATGGTCACATCTTGGATACTGAATTTTCTTCAGACACAGGTCTTCATCAATGCCAAGGAAAGTCCTCTGGTTCCATCCAGGAATTTATTTTCTTGCTCCAGAACTTCAGGAGGCCTACCATTCCACTATGCCTCCAACTATTAGCACTTCTGGTGTTGTGCATAGGGAACGTTCCTTGGGAACAGTGACACCCCAGAAGACTTCAAGCTTTCATACTCAGATTGT